TATTGAAGAATAATTAAAAATTAGTAAGCGTCAAAACAAAAAACATAATACTGATTAGATATCGTTTATTAAAAAATTATTATTGTAATTCGGTATCTAGAAGATTTTTAAAAAAAAGGTAAAATGTAAAAATAAGTTCAAATATCTCGAGTGACAAGCAATCCTAACCTGCCTCTCGAACAGAAGTGGATTTGCGGCTGGTCTAGGTTTTGGCGTTATATGCAGAGTTGAAGCGACTACAGAAGCTGGAGGTCGTTCTTGAAGTATCGCTGTCTGCGGATCTCGCAATCTATCGGTGATAGAAAGTTGCCTTCGAAATGAACTGTATCCTTGATTACGTCTTTCAAAATTTCCACCATGCCTGGAGGAGTTTTAATAAGGAAGTGAAATACAAAATAACTCAAGTTCGCGTTTCTAAGAAAAAAAACATTAAAGACAATTTAACGCAGACTCTGGTAATTCTGCGAATGAAGAATCATATTTTGGTGACGATGCACATGCTGGAATCGCTTTCAGCGTAAAACCAAGTGAAGTTGAGGCACGACTTCCACTTGATGGTGGAAACAAATCTGCAGCTTCCTGTGCAGCTAAGGTTGCTTCTTCGTCGCGTTTCTTCTTCTTTTCCAAGCATATGGCAAAAGCACAACCCACGGCATGACTCAGACGCTCACCCTACAAATCTTTATATGATGTCACAATTGTTGGTAGTTGCACAAAAAATTTGTCAAAACATCTATTCATTATTTAAGACTCAACAGACAAGTGAAAATTAATTTCCTATCTCTGCTTATGAAAATGAGAAAAATTTAACTGCAACTTATCCTTAAAAACATCTTCTGTGAACTAGTTAATTTTTATAGTATAATTCCGGTGATTGAAGACAGTGAATAACGAGTGTTTTATGAGGAACTTTTAACAATTATTTAAAAACAACAAAACCTATTAGTAATACTATTTTTAAAAACCAGCTGTCCACTTTTAAACTGCTCTACTAACTAAAATCAATTTGGCATTCAAAGCCCCTAAAAAGATAAAAATTTTCCTTACTTTTCGAATTCCCCTTATCTTCCACCAAATAAGACTTTACAATCGACTTTAGCCAATTCGTATTAAAAAAAATAAAAAAAAAATCTCTTAACTCTAATAACTTCGATAGTTGCAACGATAGATAAAAAACTCACCGATTCTTTAGTAGCCAAAAAACCATGGCACATCCATCTTCTTGAACTGCCATCACGACATATATAAGCAAATCCTTTATCATGATTTCTATCTGGAGCACAAAAAGAAACCTGTAATGTAAAAAGTCACTAATTCTACTATGCAACTAAATGAATGATAGTTTTGCAGCATAACAAAAAACCTTTTCAATGGTTTGGTCTACAATGAGCCCTCGATTGTTCTCTTGATCAACAACGCGTAAACCATCGCCAGAAACATGTAAAACAGCTTTCACAGGATGCCGTCTTGAAGCCTTAAATTCTTCTTAATTAATAAAAAAATTTTAGTAAAATTAACCTTATGTATGAGTTAAAAACTTTCGTTTTGAAATAAACCATTTAGCAGCTGTAAAGAACTCACTCGTAATCTTTTTAGAGCCCCTTCGCATACCTGCATTCCTCGAGATTCGAATACTTCAATACCACCCAGATACTAAACTGTAATCGTTATGCAAAAAAAAAAAAAAAAAAA